TATTTGTGTTCAAACAAATTATTGACTCATAAATAAATTTTTAATTTGACATCTATTTTAATTTGTGCATCTATTCACCCCCCCTCTAGATGTCATTTGTCTAACATAAATTTCAAATTAAAATTCTAACAAATTTCAAATTCAAATTTCTAATCCCAAATTTCAAATTTCAAATTTCAAAATCTTAAACTACAAAATTTCAAATTTCAAAAATCTCATATTGTAAAATTTCAAATTTCAAAAATCTCATACTGCAAATTTTAAAAAAAATCTCAAACTGCAAAATTAAAAAAAAAATCTCAAACTTTAATAATTTCAAATTTTCATAAATTCAAATTTTCAAAATTCAAACTTTCAAATTTCAAAGTTGGTCAACAATCAAATTTATGTGACAGATAAGTGTAGATATTCAATATAGAGGCTTGAAAGACAATCATAAACTTATCTTTGTAATATTTCCCTGTTCATCTAGCTTGTTCCTGTACACCCATTTATCTTCAATAACCTACATTAATTTCTTATCATTGATAATTACCTGCAACATCAACATACAAATCTAAATACCCTTTTATTATTTTTGGGTCTTTAAAAAGGTTAGTAGAATCACAAGTCTCTGCTAAAGGACTAAGGATTAAAAGAATATAACTATGATATAATAATCGATTATCACAATACCTTCAAAATCAACATAATTGATTATGATAACAAGAAAAAAAAAATTTCGATTCTGATAATCAATTAGATGCTCAAACTATCATCTAGACATGTATAAATGCTTTTTTCCTTTAGGCACCCATTCATATTTTCCATTAGATATGCCAAAATGTTTTATGTAACATCTATTTTATGTATGGCCTAATTTCATGCTATAAAACACATGTTGGTTTTCTTTGAAAAGGTCTGAATAATTTTCTTAAAGTTTTTGAAACTGGTTTAACATTTGTTTTCCTTGACTCTTTCACAAAAATAGTTTTATGAGGTTCTAGACTTTCTTTGGGTTTGTAACCAAGTCCAACTTTGCTAGAATTCCCTCTTTGATAACCTAATATATAATCAAGATTTTCAGAAGATTTTGAAAACTTGCTTATTATTTTCTCTAACTTGAAAATCTCATTTTCCAAATGATTATAATTTTCACAAGGTTTAACAACTTCTTTATTTTTAGACAAAGTTTTAAATTTCTCAACATCTTTCTTTAAGCACTCATTTTCTTTTTCAAGAATACCATCAGTATTTTCTAATGCATTAAACTTTTGTCTAAGTGCATTGTATTTCTTAGATAACTTGGTAAAACCTTCATACATATCTTGATCTTCTTTAAACAACCCATCATATTCATTTAAGGATTTTGTACTGCTTACCTGTGATGAGACTTCATCATCACTTTTTGTCATCAAGCAACAATTTGCTTCTTCTTCTCTATCACTGCTTTCGGAAGAACACTCTTGTGTTGTGGAAGAATCATTATCCTCCCAAGCAATATAACATTTGCGTTTGTTCTTATAGATACCATTCTTCCCTTTCTTCACATCTTTCTTAAGTTCCGGACAGTCTGGTTTGATATGGCCAGGTTTTCCACATTCATAGCAATGGTATTTATTTGTTTTCTCCTTTCTTTGCTGTCTCTTTTTCCTGTTCTTCATAAAGTTAGAAAATTGTTTAACAAAAAGAGACATATCAAAATCCAAAAACTTACCTTCATTTTCGCTTTCGTCTTGTGAAGATTTTTCTACTTTTAGAGTTATCGTCTTAGCTTGATTCTGTTCACCATTCTTTAACCTTTATAGTTTCATCTCATGTTCTCGCAACTTTCCAAATAGAGTAGCAATATTCATTTCTGTGAGATCCTTTGATTCTTTAATAGCAATGACCTTTGGTTGCCAATTCTTGTCTAAAAATTTCAAGATCTTTGTGTTCAACTCCTCATTGTCAAAATACTTTCCTAATGCTTTCAAGTGATTTACTATATGTGTGAAGCGTGTCTGGAAATCCGTGATGCTTTCATTTTTCTACATTTGAAATAATTCATACTCCTGGATGAGTGTGTTCTTACGTGCTCGCTTTACTTCATTTATTCCTTCATGTGTTACTTCAAGAGTGTCCCATATTTCTTTTGTCGTCTTGCATTGTGAGACCCTGAAAAATTCGTTACGAGTTAAGTCAGAAACAATAACATTTCGGCCTCTTACATCATAATAGGCATGCTTATTTTCATCCGACGCCCATTGGTCAAAAGTCTTTGGAACAACTCCAGATTATGTTGTTCTCATCGGAATGTAGGGACCATTGAGTACAACATCCCAAACACCATAATCTAGTGTTTGTAAAAATATTTCCATTCTTATTTTCCAAAACTGATAGTCTTCTCCTTCAAATAGTGGTGGTCTGTTTATTGAGGCTTCTTCCTTGTAAACCTGATTCTGCATAAACATCTTGACAAATCGTTTAGAAATATCTTATCTAACCAAGCTTTGATACCACTTGTTAGACAAATGACATCTAGAGGGGGGTGAATAGATGCACAAATTTTAATAGATGTCAAATTAAAAATTTATTTGTGAGTTAATAATTTGTTTGAACACAGATAAAGCGAAAACGATAATATAATCAGGAAAAAAGAAAGGGATAAGGGAAAGAGAAGAGCACATAGTGATTTATACTGGTTCGAGTATAACCAACCTTACATCCAGTTCCCAATCAACTCTTAACACAAAAGTGACTCACAATTCACTATCTTTCAAATTCAGTTTACAAATTACAATCAACTCTGCAGAAGAACCAGTAAAAAGTAAACTAATTGAAAAGACAATCACCTCCTTAGAAACCCACTAAGGATGAACACCTCCCTAGAATCTCACTAGGGATGAACACCTCCTCTGAACAAATCAAAGGATGAAAAAAACCTCCTTAGAATCCTACTAAGGATGAACACCTCCTCCGAACAAGTCAAAGGATGAAAAACACCTCCTTAGAATCCCACTAAGGATGAACACCTCCCTAGAATCACACTAGGGATGAACACATCCCTGATCAAATCAAAGGGATGAAAACACCTCCTAAACCCATAAAGGATGAAGGAGTAAGATAAGAACAATCACACCTGGGTAATGGAGACAACAAATTGTAGAAGCCTGTAGAATGCCAATTTCCAAGAACAAGTGTGATTAACAATGAAAACACAGAAGGCAGTAGAGAAGAAGGTTTTCTCAGAAGATGTAAAATATCTCTGTTGCCTTGCTCAGAATTCTTTTCTCAAAACTGATTGAATGTAAATTGTATTTTTGAATTTTGTAATTGTGTTTTTGATTTTTCATCAAAACTTAATTAAATAGAAAAATAACATCAGAAAATGGTCATTGGACATTAATATTTTCATGAATAAAAATCAGGATATATTCAAAAATATTTATTCTTGAAAACAGATATATTTTTCAAATTTGAATTGCCATAATTGATTATGTTACCAGTATAATCAATTATGACAGAGAAAATCATTTTTCCATTCTGATACATCATAATTGATTATGACAGTGAAAAATATCATGTTATGAATTTTATCACACTTGTGCTTTGGAGGTTTATGCATCATATTATTTCATCAACTTGTACCTCCATATCCAATATTCTAAGACTCTACTAGTCTTCAGGAATCATCTTGGGCTTGCTTGAATGTTGAATAAAATCTTTAACAAAATCATATCTTTGGCTTACTTGAGTCTTGAATGTTGTTGACTTAAATCATCATTAAAATCATCTCTTGGGAATGTAGGGACATGTTTCACATTGTCATCAATCTCCCTCTCATTGCTTTCAGTTCTAAAAGTTTAAGGTGAAATTATTCTTGTTTTTCTCTTTGTGAATTTTTTATTGTGTTTTGATGTATGTGAGGTGAGTTACATAAATTAGCTTGAAAATTGTGAGAAAAAAATATTTTCAAGTGTTGTGATTTGTGTTTAGATCTTCATTAAAGGTTGTTATAGTTAAGACCATCTCTAAATGGAGTTGCTACGGAATAAAAATAAATATTTTATTGTGGGTCTCACATCTGATTTGCTTAAAAGTGAAGAAAATTGCTTAAAATTGGAAGAAAGTTGTTTTGATAAGTAACTCTGACCAAATTTTAAGCAACTCAACTGTAGGACACATAATAAAATATTCAATTTTATTCTTAAACAACTCTGGTTAAAAACTCCCTTGGAGATGCTCTAAGATTATCATGTTAGGTTGTAATTTGATTACTAAACAAATTTTAATAAAAACTCCAAACTAAGGTTGTTTGGTTATATTGGATATAGATTCAAAAGAATCAAATCAATATAAACTCTTAGTATTTTTTTCTTATTTTGATATTTTTATGATCTTAACACTTGCTCTAGTTTTTTTGTATTTGATTATAAGAAAAAGTTATATTATCTAACAAATTTACCCTAGTGTATTTGAACATGTACATTTTTCTAATAAATTTTATTAAAATTCTATTATCTATTTTATTTTATATAATAATATATATAATTATTTATAAATAAAATATATATCTTATCTTTATAAATTATTCAATTCATTGAAATAATTCTTATGATTTGTTTGAATTAAAGAATATAATACCATTTTCAATAAAAAAAATTTAGATATCAATGTTATTATATATGATTTAAATATTTGTTAAATTATTTATATTATCTATTTTATTTTATATAATAATATATATGATTATTTATAAATAAAATATATATTTTATCTTTATAAATTATTCAATTCATTGAAATAATTTTTATGATTTGTTTGAATGGAAAAATATAATACCATTTTCAATAAAAAAATTAAGATATAAATGTTATTATATATGATTTAAATATTTGTTAAATTATTTTATATATTATTAATTAATTAATATGATATTAAAATTAAAATTTAATTTATTTTTATTGTTATCTTGAGTTAAAAATGGTTTTGTCAAGATAAAAATACTCTCTTTATTTTATCAAACACACTTGAATTCAATGGGTTGGAGATGGAGTAGGAGATTGAGACAGAGGGGCCTCTTGCAGGGCAATGTCTTCCACTTTATTTGGTTAGGGAAGGGACAGGAGTGGGAAGTATCTCCCACCATAATTTTATTTTAATTTATCTACATTTTAGAATTAAATTATTTTTTTATAAAATTTACTATTCCACTAAAATATTTAAATATAATAGTATTTTTTTATTGCAGATAAAGGAGGGTCTTGGATTGGATTGGGACCCTCCATGCTCCATCATTCCAACCTTCATCCTTCATTGCATTGCACCCCACGCATCTTCAACGTAGATAACGGACCCTTTTCATTACCACGTGCGCCGAACTCTTACACGTGCGTCTTTCATACTCCGTTCCCTCTCCTCAGATGTTCACGGAATGTTTTTAATTATTGTAAATATCACTGCAATTAGTTTTACTCTTCTCAATTCTTTAATTGCTTTTATTCTTATAATTTTTATTTAAATAATCCTATAATTAGTTATTAATAATGATGTGACATGCATATTCCTGATAATAAATAATAAGAAATCCATTAATAATGTTATTTATAATTATGTGTCCATTAAACTATTTCTCTAGCATCGTTTGACTTCAACAAAAAACAAATAATAAGAAATCCCAAAACCATCAACACAAATGTGTTTGTTTGTTTCTACGTTCATCCAGCACCAACTAGTGATCACAGAAGGAAGAGAAACTTTCCCCTTCTTATAATCATCTCTTAGAAAGTCCAATCTGTATTAACATTTGTGTTTTTTTGTGCTTTGTGTTGGTTTATATCTAAACCAAACACATGCATATTAAGTCCCGTTGATCATTTTATAACCCATCTTTTCATTGGTGTGACATTGGATCTATCCTTAACCAAATGCTACCTCTATCCTTAGCCCCATCTTTTCACAATCATAATTGACTTCTAGATTTCAACACAAGCATGGTATCGGTTGAATAATATTAATGAAAATGGAGAAAAATAAATTGCTATTTCGTTGTGTTGCGAAAGAACGAGAGAATTAGAGTTTTCTTTTCTTACAGTTTTATCTTAAAAAGTATCTTGATAAATAACGTAGACTAATAAACATACTCGAATATTTTATTATTATTTTTTTTTCATTTGAAGATTTTCTCCAAATAGTGAAAATTGCATCTTATATATATACACGTGGCTGTAGGCCATGAGTGTTCTTCTCCAAACACTAATTAAAGGCACCACGGTTGGTGGGAAAGAAGACATGTAAAAAGAACTTGGTCCATGTCCTTAAAGGGTTCATTTTTCGGCAGCACCGAATTACCCCTTTTTCATTCACACTATGTATTTGTTTTTTAAATTTAATTTTACAAAATTATTTTTTAAAATTTAATTATATAATTAAAAAATATACTTACTTATATATTATAATATTATTTATCAATATCCGAAAAGAAATCCTTTCTAATATAAAATTCATACACTAATAACTTTTTCACCTCTTCAACTTTTTAATTTCTTACTTTAAACTTTATATATTACATGGATATATTGAGTATATATTTTGGTGAACTTCTTCGAAAGTTAGAAGAAACGAATTAATTATTTTTTTATAAGATTTAACTTATAGACAAGTTAAAAAAAAAGGAAAATTATATAAATAATTTTCTAATATAAAAAATTAAGATATTTTTTTATAAAGAATTATTCGTAGAAAAAGTCTTTCTAATGTACACTAAAAATGTTTTTTCTTAATATTTTTTTGAAATAAAAACAAATTAATTTTTTCATAAGTTAAAAGTTGGTAAATGTGCATGATGGTGTTGTAATCTAAAATACAAGTGGAAATCAATTTTACACAAGTAAGATTTGTGTTCATAATAGAGCCACTTACCAATGTAGGGAAAAAGGTTGCATTAATTGAAGCCAGTTCCTGAACTTTCATTAATAAAACCCACATGGCTATGGCAAAAAAGGGGTAGGTTAAAAATCATGCTCCACACTTCTATGTTTTTTGGGGTTAACTTTTGAAGGCAGAAACAAAAATAAAAGTTAGCATTGCTTTGACTATTAGTTACTCACTTTTATCAAAACCCATATGATGCCGTTTCAAAAAGATATTCTTAGTTCAAAATCAAATTCATTTTGATGCTTCATTCTTTTTACTTTATCATCTATTTTTTATATCACATTTTCATTATTTAATACATTTAAATATATCGATAATATGTTAGTGTAATTTACTATTTTATTTAACAGAAGTAGAAATATAACAAATTTTGAACTTGTCGATTTTTTATTATTGAATATCAGACTTTGCATATAGTTAGTGTAATTTTTTAACTTTCTCAAACTTTAGTAGTTTAGTGAGAGAAATGTAACTAAGATGGAAGGTTAGAACATATTATTATTATATATGTGAAAACAGCGATCATGTATAATATTATTACATATAACTACAAATTATTATAAAAATATAAAACTAGATGGATTGAGTAATAAAATTTGATGAATAGGAGTGGAGAAAACAATAAAAAATGAAATTGAATTAACTTACTTGTGTGGTCTATAAAAACTTAAAAAGAGAGAAAAGGAAAATTAACATATCCCATGACATTCAACTGAAAGTAACCAACTTAGCTAAATTCAGAAAAGAATAGAGAGAAAAAAAAGAAAAAAAAAAGAAAGGGAAAACCAAAACAAAGTCATGTTAGAGTCTCTACCCAAAACAAAGGTCATCGTAGTGTAAAGCTCTCACAAATTCACAAACATCTCACCACCATAATATGCAAGCAAGAAAGAAAGGGAGAGAAAGTGAGAGAAAAAGGTTTGGCCAGTGATGGATCTAAAATCTCCAACACAACACCCACTCTTTTTCTTTCTCTCCCACTCTTTTTCTTTCTCTCTCTATAAAAATCCAAACGCCATGATCATCAATTTGATCCGCAAATTTGGCTAATCAAGTACCCCATCTTCACTCTTTTCTTTTTCTTCATCTTCTTCCTTTCTCACACACAAGCACAAACACTCTCATTTTTCCGACCACTTTCCGACCCAGATCTCCTCCGATCTCCGATCACTCTCCGGCCACAAAACCCACTTCCCAATTCCACCAAATGTGCTAACTTTGCCACTTCCACCACACCCTTTTGTTTTCGATTTGCTGTGAGAGACCCAGAAGGGCTTTTAACGTTGTTGGGTCGAATCTGGTCCAAAGTTGTGTTCTTTGGGAGGTTTTAAGAGAACCCTTTTGAGTTTTTGAGTTGGGAGATGACGTCGGGGACGAGGCTACCCACGTGGAAGGAGAGAGAGAACAACAAGAGGAGAGAGAGAAGAAGAAGAGCCATAGCAGCGAAGATCTTCGCAGGTCTGAGGATGTATGGAAACTTCAAACTCCCCAAACACTGCGACAACAACGAAGTCCTCAAAGCCCTTTGCAACGAAGCTGGTTGGACCGTTGAACCCGATGGAACCACTTACCGTAAGGTACAACTTCCTACGTTCAATTTTTCCCTTTCTATTTTCTCTACCAATTACCTATTTCTTCATATTATGCAATTTTTAGCTACTTTAATTTAAGTAATTTTGTCTCAGAAGCCTCTATTTTTTTTTCTTTAGCTCTCCATTATTAAGAAATTAGTTATTTTCTGTAAATTTTCTTGTAAAAATTATTTAAATTTATAGAAAATTTATTTTTTATAATTTAACTTAAGCTTTCTCCCAGAAATGGGAAAGTGCTTATCTTCTTCCCCTGTTTTTTTATTTTTTTAATTGCGTGAATTAAAAGTTTGAGGGGGAATAACGCGTTTTCTTGAATCCTTTTAGTGTTGACAAATAATTAATGGACATTTATGGTAAATATAAAACTTTAGTTATAAATTACGATGATTTGTTAATCAAAATTAAGTACTACTTGGGACAATTTTATATTTTATTGTAATTATCTAAGAAACATTAAATAGTTTTGTTTTGTACTGCTGTAAGATTTTTTTTTTAAATATGATTTTATTTTATGTAATGAAAATTAATTATTTCAACCGTTAGGATACATTGTTTCGAAGAAGATAAGAGATCTCAGACATGATGGATCATGGATAGCAAGTTTGACTTCCTCTGTAGTCTGAAAACTTTATCTATTTTAGGCTGTAATATATTTCTTAATTTTTCAATGAGAAAATATAACTATTTTAAAATTAATATTTTATTTAATTTAATTTTGATCAGAGCCGTTTATCATCAGTTATTAACTTATTTCGTAATATAATCAAAATTAAATATTTCGTCACAGCATGTTGGCATTATATATTTCAATAATTTATACTCATTCCCATTTTCTCTTTCACTTTTGTTATTCACCTCATTTTCTTTCTTTCTTTTTCTTTTGAATTACATCACTTTTTATGCATGAAAATTTATCTTTTTTTTTTTTTTTTCTAGTTACACGCCCCATTTTTCATTTTCAACTGTACATTAACTATTGTTGTTTAAAAAAATGAGACAGTTCTAACTTTTCATACAAAAAATTGTACACTCAATTTTTTCATTTTTTTTAGCATGATTTTTTTCTTAATTATAAAATTTGTGATAAAGTTTTTATAAACATAATTTGTAGAGTGAATCTTAGTATAAGATGAAATGGTAAAGGTTTATTGTGTAATTATAAAATCATGTGACCTGTGAGATATCTAGATAGCTAAAATAATTTATAATTGAATAGTGTATATTTATTTATACAAAAAAAATAAAAAATTCCTTGGCTGTGTACGGTGGATCCGGTAGCAGTGGTCCTGGCATTGTTAGTGGGAAAGCATCAAAGATTCGCTCTCTTTCTTGACTGATGGTCACCTGAGAAACCAGGACAATATTTTGTTTTTAGTCTTTTACATTTTCACGGGACCAAAATGCCCTCACTGGTGGGTGCTCCAATCATTGCATGAAGTGAACCTGTGAAGGGGCATTTTGGTAAACTGAAGAGGGCAATTTTGCCAGCTTTGGTGTTCCGTGGTTGGTGCGTTTGTCTGATATTTTGCTTTGTGTAATGTCCGTGTTGCTGTGTGGCATCCTAGCATTAGCTTTTTGACTTTTTCAGACAGCGTGGCCACGTAGGATTCCATTTGGGTGTGTCTTTTGCCTCATCATTCACCCTTCTTTTGTGCTAATGTCACTGTTCTTTCTTTTTCCCTTCTCCTCTTTCAGACAAACATGTTTCAGATCTATGCATGCTCATAATTAGTATCATATATTATATTATACTGTGTTAGATTATAAGTCTCTAATCATAACTCTATTTTCCATTGTTTATTTTTTTAATGGGTTCTTTTCTTGTCATATAAAATATGGAAACATTCACTGATTATTTGAACACACTGTCTAGTGCTTGATTGATTGCATGTAATATAATCAGCCAAGCTTTGACCAGTTATGTCACATTGATTAGACTTGATAGGAATGCAGAGTTGAATAACTGATCTATACTTTTACATCTTTACCGATATGATCAGTGTTTACGACACATTTTCTAACACTCCTTCCACAACAGTTTTTTATTGATCAAAATTCACATGAGTCCCAATAATTTCGGAATAAAATCTATCAAATGAAAAATGGACATCAGTGAAATCAACATGAATTTAGAGAATGCTAGATGAACTTCTAGATAAACACTTATTGTAGAGAAAAATAAGGATAAATGAACCTACTCCTTAGACTTAACTTAGTCTGGGTGAGCTAATTTGTAAGAATTATTCTCTGTTAGCTACCCAATAATCTGGTCTTTACCTCATCCATAAACTAATTTGTCTTATATAATGCATCTTCTAACCCAAACAAACCCTTAATAAACATCTTTTAATCCAAACAAACCTTTAATACAAGTGTCTTAATAACATTTCTCATGTAGTTGATGCCTGATTAACTAGCTAAATGTTCTATTTGAAGTTTTTCTGGCAATGCAAATCCTACCTCTATGCATCTGCACTATATGGTAGGTTAACAAATGCTACTTTGCTTATTATGATCAGTTAATGGAAACATTTTTGTACAATCAGGGATGCAAGCCTTTAGAGCGCATGGACATAGTTGGTGGATCATCAGCAGCAAGTCCATGCTCATCTTACCATCCAAGTCCATGTGCTTCATACAATCCAAGCCCTGGCTCATCTTCCTTCCCAAGCCCATCCTCATCCCCTTACACCAACATTCCCAATGCTGATGGCAATTCCCTCATTCCATGGCTCAAAAACCTCTCCACTGCTTCATCTTCAGCATCATCTCCCAAGCTTCCCCATCTCTACCTCCACAGTGGCTCCATCAGTGCTCCTGTCACACCTCCTCTGAGCTCTCCAACTGCCAGAACACCACGAATCAATGCTGAGTGGGAGGATCAGTCTGCACGGCCGGGGTGGACTAGACAGCAGCACTACTCCTTCCTGCCATCTTCTAGTCCTCCAAGCCCCGGCCGCCAGGTTGTTGACCCTGAATGGTTTGCTGGGATCAAACTTCCTCATGCTAATCCAACCTCACCAACATTCAGCTTGATCTCCTCAAACCCTTTTGCTTTCAAGGAAGATGGTTTGGCAGGCAGTGGTTCGCGAATGTGGACACCGGCTCACAGTGGAACATGCTCTCCAGCTGTTGCACCAGGCACTGATCACAATGCTGACATTCCAATGTCTGAGGCTGTTTCAGATGAATTTGCGTTTGGAAGCAACATGCTGGGGCTTGTGAAGCCATGGGAAGGAGAAAGAATCCATGAGGAATTTGGATCAGATGATCTCGAACTCACACTCGGTAACTCAAAGACCAGGTACTTGAGCATTATTACATGATCAATGGACTTTCTTTAAGGGTGTTGCTGTTGAACTAACTCTGTCAACTGATCACATATCATCATACATGCTAATTCTGTTAGTTATCTTAAGAGCTGTGCTTCACAGTTGATGACAGTTAAATGTGTAAAACCCTTTTACCCTGTCAATGCAGAAAAAATAATTTTTTTCTTGAAGATATTTTCTGCCCCTCTTGGACATGATCTTTTTGCTTTTTGACAGATGAAGTGACAGATAGGAATGGCAGCAATTGAATGTGATTATGTGAACATTGACTTCTGTTGGTTTTGTTCAGTAGATATGTTAGAGAAGGTAAGTGAGGTGAGTGCAAGCAGTTGCTTTCTTTTATTTATTTATTTTGGTGACTCTCCCTTTTCATTTTATAGTTCTTCAGTAATATACATGTTTAGTTAGGTGTGGGGTGATTTGCAACCCATACATCACTGTACTTGTTGTTAAACCTTATGACTGGAAACATCAGTATACATTGTATGGATTGGCTTGGTTTGCCACTGAAAGAACTCCACAGATTGCACCCTAACTTTGTCTGGAAATTTCATAGAATGGTTCTTTTTTTATTGACTAAGTTATTTTTGGTGCTTTTTATCTCATTCCTCTGCATGTGGGTAATTTTTGTTAAGGTATATGCTTCACTGATAACTAATTAAATTTTCCCTTCAACTGGAATATTTCTGCTGCACAATACCAGTTATGCATATTACTAAAATAAGCTAATTTACATACAGGAATATTCAATTTGTAAGATTTGACATAAAATAATATATAGTAGTAGATTAAAGCGAAGATGTAGTATTCGTACCTTTTTTTTTTTTTTGTTTATATGGGAATGAAAGATTGTTTTCATACTTACACCTCACATATGTGCGCATATATATGATGGAAAAAAAAAACTCTGGACAACTTTATTTAACATTAATATTTTATCAGTTTCTTGTTTATATGTTTATTTTTTCTGCATGCCACATTACAAAACTAAGAAGGTAAAAACGTTATAATCTGCAACAAAAGTTATTCAAAGAACTCGAATAAAAAAAAAATGCTAAAACACCATTCCCGTTTCTTTTTACATTTACCAATAAAAGTTTACATTATTCTTATTTTAAATTTGATTAATTATAATAACGATTCATTTTAGTTCATTTAAATAAATATACAATTTAATTATGTTGAATTGTTTTTGTAGAATTTCTTTCAATTTTATATATGTATTTTGTGGACCATAAATACTAGTGTTTCTTACCTGAGACAGCTGGTAACCAGACAAATGTGTTTGAAGTACAACTGGCTTTATTAAATGAGATGCTTTATTAAACATAGTAAATTAAATTTTTGAATGGTTTAATCAGATAACAAAATTAATACTTATTTGAGAAAAATAATATAATTTAAAAAATCACATGAGACAGTGAGAAAGAACAGAAGTAGCAGGTTCAGTATTTGATAAAAAGCGTAACTTAAGATCCCTTTCATTTTACTTTACGCAATTGTGATAGATACACCACTCACATGCTTACATCACTTTCCTCACATTGTACCAAGTGTTACTATTTGACTCTCTGTATGCCTGCAACCAGGAATTTTTTTTGGTCACTTCGGAGTAACATCAATTAATTCTATTTACTGATTAATTTAAATTACATTGTGTATTTTAGCTCTATTTTTTAAAATATATAATGTTTATTTAACAATATGTTAATGTTACTTTAATTTAAAAAATAAAAAAAACTTACAAATGGCATGCATGAGGCATCGGAAAAACAGTTTAGTAATGGCGTATGTTGAAGCCATTCACTAATCCCAACACGAAAACGATATAATAAATATTATTAAAATATATTAAATAATAAGTAATTAAAACCGGAAAACATTATATAAAAAAGATTGGAGGTGGAGTAATTTATACGTTGAGATCTATTTTTTTTTCAGGTTTATATTTACGTCTTCAATATATGAAATTTTTTCTCGAGAAAATAAAGTTTTGTTATTGATTTGAAAAAAATTTATCTGTTGAGAAGATTATTAGACGATAAGAGCTGAGAGGGTTTTAAGGGAAGGGCTGAAAATTTTTAATCGGGTGGTTTACGAGGGTAATGGTTGACTTTATTGAGACGAATAACAAACTAAAATTTGTAGTTTCCATTCAACGGATAGATCTCAAAAGTTCTCTCTCTATATAATATACTTTACTTTTAATGACAAATGTTTTATAGGATTTTAAAAATATAAACTGTGGATAAGATTTAAAAAATATAGACGTAGATGATGAAGATAAATATTAGATAGTTAAATATTTTTTTATTTTTCAAAGTTTAAGATTTTTTTACTCTTATCTTAATTATGATAAAGGAGAAAATTATTCCAATAAAATTTAAAAATAATTTTTTTGCATGGATATGTGAGAATTTTATATGTCATTTGGACAATATTATACTAAATTACTAAATAGTTTGTTTACAAAAATCTTATTTAGGTTTATAAAATAATTTGAAAATTCCTTCAAAAGGAATTTTAGGATTGTAACTAAAAAATATTTAAACTTCATGGTTTCATATAGGAAGTAAAATGATATAGGAAGTAAAAATGACGAGATTTTATATATTGAAAAATATTTATAGGAGATGTTGATGTTAATAAAAGAGGATATACCTTTATTGTTTTGACTTTGAGTGATAAAGATTTTACCATGAATATCAAAAGGGAATTGTGAGTAGTAAAAATGATTTAGACATTTTTTCTAGGCTTTGAGAGGAAGTCTTGAACTAAGTTTTGATTTCCTTTAATATGTTTTACATAAAAGTTATACTTGAAAGACGAATCCTTAAGTATGAGAATTTGAGAATTGGATAACATCTTGATTTTGAATTCTAAATTTTTTGGAAAGGATGAGTTGTCCATTTGAGCTTCAAAATGATGACTTATGAGTTGAAAAATAAACTTTTTGATGTCTTTTTAAATTGTGAGAGCTTCTTTAAAAGTGGTGTGAAAATGTTTTTCAACTTCCTTAAATTGCCCATTATGTCGACAATGTATTTCTTGTTCTCCATTTCTTGAATCAAAATTGCCCTCCCCCTAATAGTTATCACTCACATCTATTTGGAGAATCCTTTTCCCACTTCCAAGGATTTTTAAATCTTGTGGAACTTACAATATTTGCTTTAGTTCTTGAACAATATCAGTTTGTTCTAGTTCTTAAGGAGGAAGATTATTTTTCAATAATTTGAAGAAGAGACTAGTATACCTTGTTGCATGGGGGACGAAGTCTCATATGTAATTAAGGATTCCTAAAGGTTTTGGATTTATTTAATGGTCAAATTATGATCATGAAAATTTGAGTTTTTTAGCAATATGATGTTGATGTTGATGTTGATAAGTTCTTTGAGAAGAGTGCATCTTTAGGAAATCAATTTCTTGTAGGGCCAAATGAATTTTCTTTTCAAAGAGCATGATACCTTTATTGGTTTGCTATTTTGAAAAATCAATCTAGCAATTTTTTGTGATAGATGATGACATTGTCTAATATGAGCTCAAAATATTTTGTCATGGCTTTTTGAAATAGTGATGGGTTAACTTTAGCCAAAAAGACATCACTTTTAATTAGTATTGGATATTAGGGATACAAAAGACAATTTTGTATCTATTAGTTGGGTTGATACCAAATTGCTAAAATCCTAATTTAAGGTTAAATTCGAAAAAAATGTTGGATTTTTTTATCATTGAGGGTAAAAAGGATGCTTTTAAAATAGGAAATTATCATTTTTGAAAAATGATTAAGGGGTTTATAGTCAATGACTAACCTCTTTTTCCTTGAATTTTCTCAGATATTTTTTCAACAAAGAAGGCTTTGCAAGGCTAATTGGATTAGGTTGGTTCAATCAGTCATTGTTTAAACAATTGTTGCATTCTTGGTAAGTTGAAGATTTGAGAGAGACATACCTAAATGGGTTACTTTTGTAGGGTTGATGTCTTTATTGAGTTTGAAAGGGAGTTAGATAAAAAAAATCAGAATTTTTCCACAAAGGGCATAAATGAGAAAACTCTTCATGGTTGTTAGCACACAAAGTGACTAATCTAGCTTTAATCCCATATAAATCATCTGGAACTTCCAAAAGAGAAAAAAAATTTGTGTACATTAGTGAAGGATTTTAATTCTCTTTTGAATCTTATCCTAGTAGAATGAATTTGAAGTTTATTGGCAAAATAGTATATATCTATTCCTACTAATATAATTTTATTTAGAAGTTTGCTTCCAATTATTTTCTCTTCTCTAATACTTGACATATCTTTTGAGGATATATAGTTTATCTAAGTATTAAACTTGTAGAAGTATTAAAATAATATCTTTTGAGGATATATAATTTATATTACGTATTAAACTTGTGGAAGTATTAAAATAGAAAATTGAGAATGTCGGGGCTCAAAATTCAATATTTCAAAGGCTTGATGAAAAGATGGATAAAATCTCCGTACACCTTCAAAGATATGATGAAAATTAAATACTATGAATAACTCTTGGAGGAAATCTCTAGATTGGAAGAAGACTGGAAAATTATTATTTTTGGATAATTATCTCATACCTAAGAAATAAAGATAAAGAGATTCAAGGCCCAAGTTTAGGAGATGGATGATTATATTGAAACCAAAGTCAAACAACAAAAGGTTGAGGGAGATTCGTACCCTTCCCTAATTTCTTTGCACCATATATATGTTGAACATACAGGACTTGATGTTGAACTTACATGGACATGAAGCTTGTTGATTTTGATGATGATTCAAGAACAAAGAACTTAGAGAGTTGAAGACTTGTATTCTTGTGTAATAACTCTGTTTTGATGAGTTTGAGTCTGTAATATTAGAGTCTAAGATAGCCAGTACATAGTCTATTCTTTAGAAGCTTCAAAAACTCATTTTTATCAAAAACCCACGGGTTTAATCGATTAAAATACCAAATAATCGATTATTACAGAGAGAAAACCATTTTCTGTATCAGCTCTCTATAATAATCGATTAACACTCCTGTTAATCAATTAACATGCCTGTTAAAATACTGCGTTGTGGGTTCCTGTTGATTTTGACTCTATAATAATCGATTAACACTTGAGATAATTGATTATTTCAGTCAGATTTGCATTTTGAACTTCAAATTAAACCTATTTTGGAAAAGCCTAGTCCCAATACACCAAGTTTCGAAAATCCCCAATTCCCAAACCCTAATTCATCTACTTAAGGTTCTCTAAGGCTCTCAGAAAATTGAACAACCTTTTTCAAACAAAAGTTGAGAGCTATGATTGCTAGAGAACTGTTTGTTGGAGGAAAAAGGGGCTTTTGGAACTTGGTGTGGGCTAGAAGCGATAAGAATCACTAAGTGGAGTTCTTGGTGGATTGTGTGTTGTGTCGTCTTTAGAGGAAACTGTTCTTCATCTCTTGTGTGACTCAAGAGAGGTGTTTTCGTTACTCTATCTTTTCCATTATTATCTGTTTATAAAAACTTGATTATAGTGACAACGTTAATCCTCTGTTTGA